TTTCCGAGAGCAGAGTTTTTTTGGTGAGATCCTTGAAGGATCAGGGTTTGGGATAGAAAAATAGAGCAGAGGTGTGGAAATGGGGTGGATTGAACTTGCCTCCCTCCCATGCAGAATTTAAGACTCTCGGGAATCCAACACTCTAAGCGAAGATTAAGTATCTGATATAGTTTTATACCGAGGGTCTAAAATTCAGTCGTCTTTCCCCAGTGTTTGGTATTATAACTCCAGAAAAATGAATATGATAATGAAGAGGTGTTGTGTCCTAGCATGTTTTTGGCTATAAAAGAGCGAATCGGTGCTTTGTCTCCGGATCTCGTGGGGTTGGTAAGAGCTACTCAGGCCACTAACAGGAATTCAAAGTCTTTGTTCACACGTCTTGGCATTTCCCGCTAAACTGAGACCCATGGAGGGCAGGCTCTGTGTTCTTTTTCATCTCTGTGCACCTGTCAACATCCGGTTGGGTGTAACCTGAGCTTGAGAAATGTTTTGTGTGAATGAATAGAAGGGACTTAGAATGGCATGCTCTTCATGTTGTACATTTCACTTGCAACTTCTGTAACACCAGGCTGCATAGCTCCTCACTGCCTGCAAGACCTTAGACAAAGTATTTACCTCTCTGGAGAGGAATATGTATTAATACCAGAGACTGTGGATATCAAAATAAGCACAATACACTCCTTGCCGGTGAGGAAATCAGAGTCTAATTGGGTCTCAGATCTGTTAGCAGATAATTCAAATAAAATATACTAAGTGAACAGTTGATGAACTCAGCCAGGCATCAATCATAAATTTGCAAACTGCATCCTCTATTTCTTCTGTCACAGATCTTCTTCTCCGGCAAAACGCAATGCCTGGCAAAGCAGATGAAAAGTGGGTAAAATAGATGAAAAGTGGGTATAACTCCACTCCTGCTAGTCAGGCATCTGAGAAATCAGTAAGCCAAAGCCAAGAGGAACCCGTTTCCTCCCAGGCCCTTTGATCAAGGAAAAAACAAAAGAGAACACCAAGGTTGTAAGAAACTGTAGCAATTATAAAAAGTTGTCAGGAGTCCAAGAGAAAAACAAGGCCATATAAGTAGATAAAAAAGGTGCAGGCCCAGGAGGGGGAGAAAGGGCTGGCCCAGAACTGGACAATGGCTTTGCAGACACTCAAAGGGGAAGACAGGTTGGGGGCCTGAACCCTGCCATCCCTGCATGGAGGAACTGTGGGTGTCAGGGTGTAAACTCAAGGAAGAGGGAAAGAAATCAAGTACACAACCTGCTTTCACCGTTTCATTTCAGCCTTGGCTAGTTTGGCCGTGGCTTTGGGCCCAGCAATGAGCAGTCTCTAAGTAGGAGACAAAGGTAAAGCTGATAATGGCTCATAAATGCCAGAACCCTAAAATTCTAAAATTCTGGAATCTTTTGGAGTATCGTTCTGATACTTGGGAGAGCCATTTCTAGAAATAGCTGGGACGGGCAGGAGAAAACCTCTGGCCCAGAAGAAGAGCTCCTGATCATTCTTGGACTCCAAATCCTTTGTCACTGAGATCAGACAATGCCAACGAATGCCTGGGTCCTTGCCTGAGATTTGTCACCAATGGCATGAGGTCCTTGGAAAGCCCCCAGAGGTGTCTCTTTGGAAAAATCAGCTTTGGGCTATGTGCTCTTAGGCTTTTTTCCTAGCTTTGAGCTTTTATGTGTTCAGTAACTGGAAAATCAGCTCCTCCTGGGGGTAAAATGAGAAACATGGGACATATTATTGTGTGGTGTGGGGACACACCTTGCCCCTTATTCAAGCATGTCTGCTTCTTGGGGGTGAGTTGATTCTTTTCAGCCTTATACATAAGGCTTATTTATAAATCATCGCCTGTGCTTGTGGACTGTCTTGGAAAACTTTCACTGGGTCTTATTTCCAAGATCATCATGCAGATGTTCAAGTGGCATGTGGAACACCCGACTAGACTATCGCAGTTTGAAAATAACAAAGTTCAGAAACTCTTCAGGTCATGTAGCTCGGTAGTGGCCAAGTTTGCACCATGGTGTGGCACTCTCTGCCCCAGCACGGCTGGCCCTCTGCCCCCCTACCCTCATGCTTCCTGTCTACTAAAATGTCACTAAGTGCAGACTCTATATTTAGCTCAGTGCTAGAAGTTGTGGAGGTTGCTTGTCCTCAGGGAACTTCTGATCCAATTGCAGAAACCAACCTCAAAACCAACCTAACAACCCGTGAGCCCAGAGTAGAATCAGAGGGTCCACCGAGATGAAGAAAATAAAACTCACTCTTCTTAATGTTGGACTGCTGCCGAACTCAGTACAAATTCGGAAAAAACGACAGATACATCATTTCAAGAGAGAGGGATGGTAGGAATGGGAGGATGAGGATGGAGTCTCTATTCTATTGAAATAAGAGGATTCGAACAATAGCCGCTGTTGCTGTCCGGTTTCAAATAACCTGGCTTTGTCCAATTCGACTTTCAGTTCACAAATAGTTATTCTTCTCTTAGGAGAGAAAATAGGCAGACGCTGATTTTAGAAGATTCGGGATTATCCTCCTTAGTTAAAAGCAACTACAGGATGTGCACACAATTTGCTACAACGTTTCTAAGTGGTTTTGTTGTAGAGACCTCGCTGGATCAGCTACTGTTACTATTTCCTGTTGGTTGCTTGCTCTTTAATTAGTCAGCGGTGAAGCTATTAAATGATTAACTGCTAATGATGATGATTTTATTTTATTTATTTCACAGCAGCAACACGTTTGTTTTGTTTTAACCTCTCTTAATTTCTTTGTGGAACAAACAACATTTCAACAAGAGCAAGTAAATACTTTAAGAAGCGATATCACAAAAACTTAACCCATCCACCGTTTTCATTTTTAATGCTTTTTTGCCCAGTTCTTATGTCCTGGCATGTGCATTTTTACCTAATGTTACCAATTTACCATTTTTACCTAATTTTACCAATCATGCTGTTGATACAGGTTTGGGATCTGATTTTCTCTTTAGAGTACGCGGCCCACATTCTCCATGTTTCTAGACATCTTGTGGTTATTATTTAAAGACTGCACAATATCCCATAGAGCGGATGTCCCATTATCCACATTCACCATTCAGTCCTTGGCCCTGAAGTCCACCTCATCTATTAGATGGAATTGTCACAGAGACATAAAAACTGTCCTAGAGGCGATTGCGTTCTGCAAGATGAAACAAACAAGTAGCTTATTTACATTTCTTATCTACCAGATAAAAAAAAGGCGGAGCCCAGGCTATAAAAAGCCAGGTGTGCATGGTTGCTAGATAACAATTCTCCCTAAGGCAGGATGGAAACAGCACCCATGGTTTGTAACTAAGAAACACGATCACATTCTTTTTCATGATTACCAACCAAAAGATTAGAAATACCACTACACGGTGCCAACATACGTTCCTCTTCTCTGTCGCCTGTGCCGCCCGAACACCACAAAAGGGGGGCAGCGTTGCTAATACCCTCTGCACCGGGCTGCAGGCAGCACCCTTTAGCCTGGACTTCTGAGCGTCCTTGGCCGATCCAGGGGGACGAGCCGCTCTCTGGGCGGAGGGCGGCGGGTCTCCCGCAGGCTTTAGGCCGGCGGGGAGGGCGTGGGCCGCTCCCGCATCCTCCGGGCGACAGGAATGAAGCAAGTCCACGGAGAAGCACCTGGCACCTGGAGGGAGAGGAAGGAAGAGTTGGGGGAGGGGTGTCTGCAGGTGGAAGTCGAGTGGAGGCTCCGCAGAGGGGGAGTCTGGTCCTTAAAGTGTCACATGCTGCCGGAGGGGAGGGCGCGCAGGGGGCGCCCGGGCTGTGCGCGCGGAGGGGCCGTCCTGAGCGGCCCTTCTCCCCGGGGGCAGAGGGAATCCCGCTCGGACCCGGCGCGGGGAGGCGGGCCAGGGATGGGGGAGGGAGGGGAGGCCTGGGTTGGGGCAGGAACGGGGAGGCGGGGCTCAGGGAGAGTGGGGGGGCCAGGGATGGGGGGACGCAGGGAAGCGGGCCCCGGAGTGGAGAGGGGCGGCTTGGGGGTGGGGAGAGGAGGGCACAGGTGGCGGGCGTGGGGAAACAGGGCCTGAAGCTGGGGACACGCGGCTAGGTGGTGCTGGGAGGGGGCCTGGGAGACCCCCAAGGGGGCGGGGCTCAGGGCGGGGGCGCAGTGAAAGGGGCCAGTGGTTGGGGGCTCCGGGACGCGGGACCCACCAAAGGGGGCGGGGCCCAGGGTGGGGCGCGCGGTGCAGAGGGGCCCGTGGTTTGGGCTCCAGGGAAGCGCGGGACCCAACAGAGGGGCGGGGGCCCAGGCTGGGGGCGGCGGTGAGAGGGGCCCGTGGTTGGGGGCTCGCGGAGCGGGGCCCGGTGGGGCGGGGCCCACGGGTGGGGGCGCGTGAGAGGGGCCCGTGTTGGGGGCTCCAGGAGGCGGGCCGGCTAGGGGGGGCTAGGGGCCCAGGGCTGGGGCAGCGGTGAGGGGGCCCCGTGGTTGGGGCTCCAGGGGAGGGCCGGCCCATGGGGGCGGGCCCAGGGTGGGGGGCGGCTGAGAGGGACCCACATGGTTGGGGGCTCGCGGGAGGCCGGGCCGGACAGGGGCCGGGGCCTCAGGCTGGGGGGGCGCGGTGAGAAGGGGCCCCGTGGTTGGGGGCTCCGGAGGAGGCGGGGGCCGGGCGCGGGGCCCAGGGTGGGGGGCGCGGGTGAGAGGGACCACTGGTTGGGGGCTCCAGGGGAGGCGAGCGGCGCAGGGGCTCAGGGTTGGGGCGCGGTGAGAGGGGGCCCTTGTGTTGGGGCTCCGGGGAGGCGGGGCCGGTGGGGCAGGGGCAACAGGGTTGGGGGGCGGCGGTGGAGGAGCCCTGGTTGGGGGCTCCGGGGAAAGGCGGGGCCGGCGGGGGCGGGGCCCAGGGGTGGGGGGCGCGGTGAGAGGGGCCCGTGGTTGGGGGCTCCGGGGAGGCGGGGCCGGCGGGGGCGGAGCCCAGGGAAGGCGGGCCCGGGGAGAGGCAGGCGGGGCCGGAGCGCGTCCCGCGGCTGCCCGAGCCCTGGGCGCTGCCCTGCGCGTCCTGCGGTCCCGAGCGGCGGCCGCCTCGCCCCGCCATGCTCCTGCTGCTGGGGCTGTGCCTGGGGCTGCCCCTCTGCGCGGGGGCGCACGGGCAGGCGCGGAGCTGGGGCGACACTTCGGAGCAAGTAAGTGGGACAGCAGGGGGGCCGGGGCGCGGCCGCTGTCCCTCCTCCGCTTCCCCGGGCCTCGTGGCTGCTGGCCGGGCTCCCCCTGGCCGGTGCTGGCCGCGAGGAAGGAGGCGTCCCGCGCCCGGCCTTTGCGCGGCGTCCCTGTCCCCAGCCTTCTGCCCGGGAGGTTCCCCAGCTGTTGGTCGCGCGGGGTCACTCGTGCCGCGGCGCCCGCCTCCGCCCGGGTTCCCTGCAGGGTCGCGCCCGCGGCTTGCAAGCCCTGCAAAACCGGGTTTTCTTCCCGGCCCCTGTCATCCGCGCCCACTTCTGCCGGTCGTTGTGGATTTCTGACACGGAGCCCTCTCCCAAGTTAATGACAAGCTTTCTTCTTTGCCGCGTGTGGGGACAGTTTGTGGTTGCTGTCCCTAGTTAGTCCAGGCAGAAAAGTGGCTTTACCGTCACAGGCGAATGCAACCTGCAAGCGTGGACTCTCAGTACGACGTCTGGTGACTAGGAAGCTCTTGGGGAAAGTGCGAGGCAGGTTCCTACGAATCTCATTAAGATCTTGCATGAAAATGGCTCTATCACAATTAACATAGTGCTGTTGACACACCTGCTGTTTACAGCGTGTTTTCGCGTGGTGGGAGGAAGCTAGAAGCTGGCAGACCTTTTCTGCCCTTTCCCCGTTTCTTGTTTGGAAAAGCAGATCTGGAAGACTGGACTGTCCAAACATCAGATGGTGGTTTTCACGCTGACCCTGTCTTGTGAATGTGCGTGTCTGTAAAATGGGAGTAATGACAATTTTCTGCTGGGGTTGTCAGGAGGAATAGCTAATAAAAAAATCCCAGGAGGCTTCCTGGTGGTGTAATAATAAAATCCCAGGAGGCTTCCTGGTGGTGTCGGAGAAGTTCAGGCTTTGGATGCAGACAGACGGGTTGGTGTTCACTTAGTTTTGTCACCCCGGCAAACCCCTTTTTAATGTCTCTGAGCCTTCTCTTCCTTGTTCCTTTTTGGTCACAGCTGGGAACACAGCTCCTTTTGGACATCTTGTAAGGATTCCACTAGTTTGTGTCAAAGACCTGGTATACAGCCGGCACTCGATAACTGGGTGATGTTTTAGCAAGTGGTTAAGGGCACAGACCTGGCACCAGGAGGTCCAGGTTTGATTTGCTGGTTGTGTCACTTACCAGCTCTGGGACCTTGGGCCAGGTCCTCCTGGCCTGGATTTCCTCTGGTGTAAAATGTGGGAAAATAAGAGGGCTGTGAGGATTGAGTGAGTGCATGCCCCTAAAGTGCTTCCGACAGCGTCCGCACTGAGTGCTGGCCGTTGCCGTGGGCTTGGGCAGCTGCAGTGTGGACCAGACTGGAGGAATTTAGGGTAAAGATCTTGAAGGTTTTTTTGGAGGGTGGAGCCAGGAGAGTGTGGGATGAACAGAAACAAAGGTTCTGCTTGTGAACCAGGAAGACCAGTGAGACTCTACTGTTTATAAGGCTGAACACTGGCTAGACTTTCCTTCATAGGAATACGTGGATTTGGCTCATTTTAGTCATTTCGTGCTGTCTTCAACTCACAGCAGTATTTATTTATCTTGAAAATGACTAGAGCAGGAAAGAAAAATCACAAGGCATAAAGTTCTATGAAATTTTACCTTTTATCCCTGCTCTCTCTCTCTCTTTTTTTAATTTAGTTTTTGTGATGTAGAATTTGAGAGTGCAGGCTTTGGCATTAGAGTTTCTGGGTTCAAATCCTGGTTCTGCACTTACTGGGGAGTTACTTAATGTCTGTTTGCTTCTGTCTCTGAATGAGGATGATGTGATTACTTAATTAAAAGGATTGTGAAGTGTGAAAGAATTAATACACTTACATATTTTAACAGAACCTGGGAATGCAGTGAGTGTTCTATTCTCAATAATTATGGTCTTTAAAGTTGCATGTAAACTTAACTTTTAAAATGTAACAGGTTATGCAAATATCATGCAGATTTTAATGTGACAGACTGTGACTATTGACTTACATTGCAATTCTTATTTGTCCTTTGCCTTCAATTGGAAATATACCTCTAACGCCTTAGACTCAGGTTGCTTCACCTCTTACCCTCCGTTCTAGCAGCAAACAGTATGACCCAAAGTGGAATGACTCCTAGCAGCAGTAGTTTTCAACCTGCGGTATGCAATAAAAATAAATGAAGCACAACAGATTACATATTTTGACAATCCGATAAACACCAGAAACATCACCTATCGTTAGGGGCCCATACAAGGAGAGCAGGGTCCCAAAGCTTGCATTTATTAGCTTTCCAATAATAATCAAATATTAAATAAAAATACTAATTCCAGTTCTGCTTTTATGGTCGTTGTGAGGATTAAATGAGTTAATTCAGGGAAAGCATTTGCGTATAGTAAACACGTAATATTAGCAGTTTTTAGTATGTATGTACAGCCCAGTTGAATCTCTGACTGCCACAACAAGGTCTTAGTGCACTTGCTTTTGGGAGGACAACTAGGAAAGTCGTTTGCCAAAAGTGACAGATGCAACACACTCTGTGCAGAGGCTGGATTAGAGCCCAGGTGTGCTGAGCGCCAAAGCTGAGGTCCTCAGTGACTCTTCCAAATAGCAAGCCACTTTCACGCTTGTAATTTAGCTTAATTTGTTTAAATGCATTTTTTTTTTTTTTTGAGACAGGGTCTTGCTCTGCCGCCTGGGCTAGCATGCAATGGCATCATCGCAGCTCATTGCAACTTCCAACTCCTGGGCTCAGGTGATCCTCCTGCCTCAGCCTCCCTGGTAGCTGGGACTACAGGCATGTGCCACCACGCCCGGCTAATTTTTCTATTGTTTTGCAGAAATGGAGTCTCACAATCCTCCCACCTTCGCCTCCTAAAGTGCTAGGATTACAAGCATGAACCACTGCGTCCAGTCTAAATTCGATTTTTATTTGTAGCTCCTGGTACATAGAGAGTATTCGATACATGCTGATCAGAGTTTAAACATCTGTATGCTGTGGTGTTACACATCTAATTCCCTGAATTGGAAGTTTTCAGATGTTTAATTTCTTATACATTCTCACTCAAAACCAAATCTTAGCATTTGGGAAAAAAGGAGAGAATCAAGACAACTGGTCTTGATTTTTTTTTTTTTTAACTCTTTAAAAAAATAAAGCCAGTGAAAGATTTAGCAGGCTGTAGGCCATTCAATAATGTCTCCTATATGTACACTGATGAAAGTGTTGCAATGGAATCGCAGAGCTGAGCCAGGAAGGAGGATGTTATAGGAGAAATTCCAGAGATTTACTCACTCCCAAACCAGACATAGCTCCTTTCTTGGAGGCGGAAAGGAGGGGTGGTATGTACTGGATGATGAGTGGTATGTGCCTTCGTGTTCCTAACCAGCACTTCCCCCCAATCCTTGGGTGCTCAGCGTAAGGCTCTCTTGCTGCCTGTGGTATTGTATGCAAGGAACAGGAGGGCCGATCTGGGAAGCTGGGGCCACAGATGAACACCTGAGCTTTTCTGGGGGTCTGGGGGAGGCATTCCTTACCACTCCCTATTTTTCCACAAGCAAGGTCCATTTCCCTGATTTTTCACAGGAAAAGGAAAGAAACAGGGTGACTTGCCTAAAGCCAGTGCTTTCTAAAATGTTTAATCTGCCTGGAAATTGGAACTTTAGCTGAACTATCCAGTTTCTTCTTCCATTTTCTGAGGTTCGAGGCACCCCAAATTGGAGAAGGTTCGTAGCTGAACAATTGGCAGCAACATTACTTCAAAGAAAGGTGATGGGAATATTCCCAGACCAACCGTTCTCAGCCCACATGCCAAGTGGCGTCTCGTGTGACTTCCCAACGTAAGAGCCCTGGGTTTTGTTGCAGGTGCTAGAGCAGACCGCTAAGATGACTGGCTCCTTAGCTGCTGGGTCTTGGTGTCGGGATTTCAGAATACCCTCAGAAGAACAGGGACCAACTGGCAGATAAATTCCTTGTATGGATCCCTCTAGGAACCCATGAGTTTGGGCAATTGTAGGTGTTTGGCTGAGGCTGGACCAAGTGCAGCATCTCTTGGATCTGTTTTGGGACCTACAGCCATGGATGCAGTGACAGAGCTCAGAAGGAAGAGCAGCGGATATAAACTCTGCCTATACATCTCTCTTCCAATCAACCAGGTCATTAAAGCATCCATACCAAAAAGGGAGCATATGTGCTCAAGAATTCCGCTTTGTTTCTATTTTTCTATCCCCTGTATTTCCTTCCCACTGATGGACTTATGGAACGTTCTAAGGGCTTTTGTCTTTTCCTCTCTCAATTGGGATCCCATGCTGGGATAGCTCCTGGGACAAAACAGAGCTGCTATCATTCAAATTAGAAACATCTAAGCAGCACCTGCAATTTTTTTTTTACCTATAGTTGCACCTGTTGATAATAGAGCGGATGCGGATATTTTAAATGCCAAGGCTCTGACGGTGTTATGGCTGCATGCTTGTGCAAAGGAGACCCTTACCTGCCATCCTGTTTCCTGGCAGTGAATGCAAACTGGTCCATGGGAGTTAAAGAGCCAGGACAGCTCTCTGGGGCTGAGATTTCTGAGCACAGCTCCTGTATGGAACCTGATTCTCTTTGACTTCTCCCCTTTCTTCCCACTCCTACAAACATCTGCACAGCTGCTTCTAGCTGTATCTCCAACATAAAGCCTTTCACGGTCCCTCAATAACATAGTGACCTCTTCTTTTTCCCATTTCCTTTGTGACGTCTAAAACTTCCCTTGTCTATTACATTTTCGTGGGTATATTTCTTTTTTTGAACGTTAGATAGTGTGGTCTTGGGTGACAGAGATGGTGGTTATGTTTCTTTTTTTTTTTTATTTCGGCATATTATGGGGGTACAGATGTTATATGTTTCTTAATAAATATAGTGGTCTGGAAATCTTCTGTTCTGGTGCTAGAGAAATACGCTCAGCTGGGTAGAACCAAGTGAACCCTAGTGAGCCAGCTCCTAAGTCCATGATTGGGGCCCAAGCAAGTGAGCAAGAGGCTCTGAGATGACTATTTATGGCAGTTCTTGTCACGAAGCTGAAAATCAGTTAACTTCTCTGTCCCCAAACCTCTCCCTCAGTTTTTTATAGGGCAACGTGGAAACACACACACAGTAAATAGGACCAGGAACTCCTAACAAAACACAATGACATTAGGGCCACTTCCACTTCCAGTCCTCTCGGGCACTGGGAATCCCTGTGTACCGGGAAGTTTTGATTCAGCGTCAAGCTGAGTTTAAACTTGGACTGAAGGAGCCACAGTGATCCCAGGGGACGTCAGATAGTCATCTCAAAAATGAAAAAGCAGCTTTTCTTGTTCTTCTGAAAGCATGCTCATTTTCTTGGAAAACCTAGTTTAGAAAGGAGGGAACTTCAAAGAGAATACTTTAGATCAATCAGCGAACTTAATACCTGAGAGGGGCTGGGCTTCCCTGCTGACTGTAGTTATTTTAAGTGGTCCCCAGACTATTCCACAATTTTAGGGAGGGAAAGGCCAGAGATGAACCCACAGACCCAGGAGAGAACTTGCCCGGGAGCCTTAGTATGGCCTTTCTTTGAGGGTCTCTCGGTCGCCTCACCTCATTTTAGAAATCTGAAACTGGCATGCTCCCAGGAATTGTTTGACTCTCCTTTGGAGCCAGGGTGGGTGTCAGCCTAAATCCCGACATTTCTATTTCTCTCTGTTCTGTGTTCTACCACATAGGGGGTTCTATCGTGGCTTAGAATGGTAATTTACAATAGCGTATATATATTTATTTTTTGGAGGGGGTGTAAGAGAGAGGATGGGGTTGAAACAGTTTCTGTTATATTTGCAGTTTACAAAATGTAAATATCCTTATCGCTTTCTACTCTGGAAACAATACATGCCAATTTGTCGAAACTCGATTTAATACAGAAAAACTTAAAGACAAGGATTTTAACCACCCAAAGGTAACTAAGAGGCATTAGCATTTTGGTGCACATGCTACACATAAAAACACTTATCCTTAACAGAAAGAGGATCATGTTAAATATAATGTTTTGTTGCCTGATTTATTATTCACTTAAAATCGTGCCGTGAATATATCTGTCAGGATAGGCTAGGTTATGCTGTGGTACCAAACAACTCCCGATTCTCAGTGTCTTAAAGAACAAATGTTTCTTTCTTGCCTCGGACTTGTTCATCTTGGGTTGGCAGGGGAGCGCTATGCCCACGGTGGTCACTCTGAACTTGGGCTTGATAGAGCAGCTACCACCCCAAACACTGGTAATGACAGTGCCAGAGGGAAAACGCAGTTCTGGAGGCTGTAACATCTGAAATTTAATGCCTGGCCCAGAAGTGACAAATGTTACTTATATTTGTAACTTATGAGCAATCGTTTTAAAAGTTGCAAAGACTTTTCTTGCATAATACATTCATTTTTATGATTACTTTTCTTTCAGTGAACAGAATTTGTAAATTAAAAGCCATGCATGCTGGTGGGAATGTAAAATGCTGTAGCCACTTTGGAAAACGGTTAGGCAGTTTCTTGAAAAGTTAAACTTAAATTTACCGTATGACTCAGGAGGAATTCCACTCCTAGGAAAATGAAAATGTATCTCCAACATAAAGGTTTGCCTATGAACGTGCATGTAATGTTCATTCAAGTTCTGTATTATTCGTCATAGATAAAAAGGTAGAAACAACCCAAATAAGCCAACTGGAGGCTAGATAAAAAGAATGTGGTATATCCATACAGTGGAATATTACTCGGACATCAAAAGGAATGAAGCACTGATTGCTACGATCTAGACAAACCTTGAAAACGTTATACTAAGCGAAAAAAGCCAAACACAAAAGGCTACATATTGTGTTATTCCATTTATATGAAATGTCCAGAGTGGGCAAAACCATAGAGACAAAGTAGATTAGTGGTTGCCAAGGGCTGGCGAACAGGGAAGACTGAGAAGTGATAGCTAACAGGTGCAAGGATTTGTTTTTAAGAAAATAAAAATGTCTCAGTTGAATGTGGAGATACATATATAGTATATAGTATATACTATAGTATATCTAATCTATAGTATATACTATCTATATAGTATATAGTATATGCTATAGTATATCTATAGTATAGAGAGTATTATCTATACTATAGATACTATACACTATCTATACAGTATATAGTATAGTATATCTAATCTATAGTATAGATAGTATTATCTATACTATAGATAGTATATACTATCTATATAGTATATAGTATATGCTATAGCATATCTATAGTATAGAGAGTATTATCTATACTATAGATAGTATACACTATCTATACAGTATATAGTATATACTATAGTATATCTAATCTATAGTATAGAGAGTATTATCTATACTATAGATAGTATATACTATCTATATAGTATATAGTATATTATATCTATAGTATAGATAGTATTATCTATACTATAGACTATAGATAGTATATACTATACACTAATATACATCTCCACATTCAACTGAACCATTTTACTATCTATATAGTATATACATATAGATATATATATATGTATATACTATATAGATACTCTGTATATACAGTAAAGAACATTTACTTGTGTACTTTAAATGAATAAATTTTATTATATGTAAATTGTAGCTCATAAAGATGTTTAAAAATATGCATAAAGTCTAGGCATATTTTCCAAGTTTTGATCTACATTGTCCCCATTGCCTTCCAGAAAAGAAAATTTATTACTCACGGTAATGACAGTTTACGCTTCTGTTATTTAAACAGAGATTTGCTGTGAGTAATGTTCAACGACCAGCTAAAACTTTTAAATTTAGTCCTGAGGGGCTGGTTAATTATTAATGAGATTTTTTTTTTTTAAAGATGATTTTTGATTTTACGTCCCTCCTCTGCATGTGGGAAAATAGAGCAAAATATCCAACAAAGACGTAATAAGAAAACTCAGGGTAAGTTCAGTTTTGCTTCCAGAGTTTCCTAGAGTTTTGAGTTCACTAAGGAAGGAGCCTATCCGAATAAGGCCGGCAACCTTTACTCATTGTAGTAGACGCAATAGCAAAGAGCTTAATTTTAAGCCAAAAATAAAAGGAAACAGGCCGGGCGCGGTGGCTTACGCCTGTAATCCTAGCACCCTGGGAGGCCGAGAGGGGTGGATTGCTTGAGGTCAGGAGTTCGAAACCAGCCTGACAAGAGCGAGACCCTGTCTCTACTATAAATAGAAAGAAATTAATTGGCCAACTAATATATATAGAAAAAATTAGCCGGGCATGGTGGCACATGCCTGTAGTCCCAGCTACTCGGGAGGCTGAGGCAGCAGGAATGCTTGAGCCCAGGGGTCTGAGGTTGCTGTGAGCTAGGCTGACGCCACGGCACTCACTCTAGCCTGGACAACAAAGTGAGACTCTGTCTCAAAAAAAAAAAAAAAAGGAAACAGATACCAGTATTCTAATGATCTTTTCTTTTCTTTTTCTTTTTCTTTTTTGAGACAGAGTCTCGCTTTGTTGCCTAGGCTAGAGTGAGTGCCGTGGCATCAGCCTAGCTCACAGCAACCTCAAACTCCTGGGTTCAAGCGATCCTCCTGCCTCAGCATCCTGAGTAGCTGGGACTACAGGCATGCACCACCATGCCCAGCTAATTTTTTTCTATATATATTAGTTGGCCAATTAATTTCTTTCTATATTATAATAGAGACAGGGTCTCCCTCTTGCTCAGGCTGGTTTCGAACTCCTGACGTCGAGCAATCCCCCCCCCTCGCCCTCCCAGAGTGCTAGGATTACAGGCGCGAGCCACCACGCCTGGCCTCTAATGATCTTTTCGTTCTTGTCATTTCATACTCCTCTAAGAGATTTAAGAACACTCAGGGGACAAGGTAGTGTGACATTATCAGTTAAGTACATCTGAGACGGATGAATTCCAATTCTGGCCTGGAAATAAAAAAGTCAATAAAAAAGTCAAAGCTACTACTTTTCGAGATACATAGACCTTTGGGTGTATTTGAGTCAGTTTGGACCCCCTCCTATAACTCATGTAAGAATGACCTCACGATTGTGTTTCCTGTCTCTCCTCTTTTTCCAGGTTGGACTCAGGGTCCCGAGGCAAGTGCGGCTCCTGCAGAGGCTGGTACGTATGGTCATGGTCTAACCCAAAAGTCCACTCCCTCACTCTTCTATTTGTCTTGAACCAGGCATCCACTTGGCTTGCAGATCCTCCAAATCTTATACAGCTTGCATGTAGAAGAATTCTAACATGAAACAGTGTAGCCGATTCTTTTTTATAAGGCTTTCTTTAAGTGGATTTTTTTTTTTTTCTAGAAAGAGAACTGATTATTTCAGTAGGACTGTTAAGGACACATCGTGGAATATCAAAGACCTTCTAAAAGAAAACAAACAAAATCTAAATATAACCTTGATTTTTTTTTAATGACATCCTTACCCGGGAAATAGAAGCTTTGTTACAAAGTGAACAACTAAAGCAACCAAAGAATGCACAGTTGGAGATTAAAGTATCAGGCGATGAGAGTTGGGCAGTTGTCGGAGGCTGATAGTTTGGAACTTGAGCAAATGTCCAGAAACAATTAAGAGCTTATTTGAAATGATCTCGGATTTTCCTTACTATTGTGCCTGCCTGGAATATCCAAACATGGGGGGAAATGCCCTTAGGCTCTGGTGAGGCGTTTTCCAGCCCTCCCTGCATCTGGCTGGTGTGTGAGTCGATTCCGATTTCTTGTTATTGCCAATGTCACAATCATTACCATCTCCTTTGGACCGGGACTTTGTATTCTTTTCATTTATAGCTTGGCTTTTCTCTCTTCTTTCCTCCCCTGATTCTCGCAATCCTGCCTCCCCACATCCCAAATTTGTTAATTTAGAATTCATTCTTTCATGTTTTCTCCGTGTTCACGTAATCCTAGACAAACATATGCACACATAAGTGTGTCAAGAATTGGGAAGGGGGCCAGGCATGGTGGCTCACGTCTATAATCCTAGCACTCTGGGAGGCCGAGGCGGGAGGATCGCTCAAGGTCAGGAGTTCGAGACCAGCCTGAGCAAGAGCGAGACCCAGTCTCTACTAGAAATAGAAAGAAATTAATTGGCCAACTAAAAATATATAGAAAAAATTAGCCAGGCGTGGTGGCACATGCCTGTAGCTCCAGCTACTTGGAAGGCTGAGGCAGGAGGATTGCTTGAGCCCAGGAGTTGGAGGTTGCTGTGAGCTAGGCTGATGCCACGGCACTCTAGCACGGGCAACAGAGTGAGACTCTGTCTCAAAAAAAAAGAAAAAAACCACCACTAACAACAAAAACAAAGTATATAAATAAATTATAAGTGTATTAGTAATTGGAAAGATGAAGCACCACTAAGAAAAATAACACAACAGGGGAAGATGGAGGTGGAGGACCCTGTGTACATTTGCACGTATGAGATTTCTGATCATTGCTTTAAAACCAAAGATGATATAATGACAGCTGATGTGCATCGAGTGCTTCTGATGTGCTGGGCATGGTTCTAAGTGCTTTATGTGTCATGACTTCATTACTCTTATAACGATACTCTTTGAGGCATTTTGCAGATGAGAAAACTGAGATTCAGAGAGGCAGAGTAACTTTCCCGGAATGACACAGTTGGGAGGAGGCGGCTAGAGCCAGGATTTGAGTCTCAACAACCTGGCGTCTGAGGCCATGCTCTTAACTAATACACCAAATGTCTTCTCAATTCTATGCATTTTTCTATTCCTTATAGTTTTGACCCAGCGATTCCTCACCTGGCATAGCTCTATCCACTTTTTACAATGGCTGAGAACATGCCACACTGTTAGCACACCAAAATCTATTAAGCATTCCACTCTCGATGAGCTCTCAATGTGTTCTCAGCTGTTGCCCCTATAAACAATGCTGCCAAAAAAACCCTTCTTTAATTTTTCCCATTGAATGGGTGCTTTCAACTCCGTGGCTTAGATTTTCAATAGGAGGATTGCTGATTCAAAGTGCATATACATTTTAAATTTTGGTAGAGGTTATCAGGTTACTTTCTGAATACTGTTACTCTTAACACCATCTGTATTTGTTCCATCTTTGTCGGCAGTGATGAATACATAACATTCCCGTGAGTAATTGATATGATGACTCTTTTTGATTTTGCAGTCTTTTAGATATAGCGACATCTCATTGTTCCTTTAACTTGCATTTCCCTGACTACTTATGGATTTGGACATGTGGAAATATGTTTGTTATCAGTTCAGAGTCTTTAGTCTGTGACTGGCTTTTTTTTCAAGTCCTTTGCCCATCTTTCTATTGTGTTTTTTATCTACCTCATTGTCAGTTTATCAGAGATCTTTGTGTGTTATAGGCACCCTCTGTCTTCCGGATTGGAAGATTTCCCCCCTAAACCTGTCATTTGTCTATTAACTTAGCTTATGGTTTCTTTGCCATATAAAAGTTTTAAGTTCCCAAGTAATAGATAAGTTTCTCTCTTTCTTTGTAACCTCCAAGTTTTCATTCTTGGTTACAAAGATTTTCCTGACCCCTTGGCTCAGACTGTTGGTATAATCTCTTAGATTTTCTTCGAAACCACTTAGCATTTTAAAAGTCTTACTATCACATGGCATTTAAAATTTTCAACACTAACTTTATTCACCATCCAACTGGTACCAGAATGATCTTTCCAACTGTAGACCTGGCATGTCATCCTCTTGCATGAATATCTTCTATGACTTTGCAGGACCTGTGAGATAGACTCCAAGGGTATACACGGCCCTGTGTGACCTGGCTCCTGCCCGGAGCCTCAGTTTACCCCATGAGCTCCTCATAGCCTGTGCCCCTGCCATCCCGCTGTAACTGTAGTTCCCCGAATGTTCCGTGCTTTCGCTAGTGAACAGAGTGTGGATGGCAACAGCTGCTACTCTCCTCCCATTGCCAGGACTGCAGGGATTTGCTTGATTTTAACTCTGAATTCATTAGATATACCCTTTTTACGAGTTCCTTGGCGTCACATGCAAACACAAAATATTTACAATTTGGAAAGCAGGGGTATCTTTGTGTTCCGAGTTTCCATGGTGCCTCACAGATACTGGCTGGTTTTCCTAAGACGACTCAGCGGTTGTCATTGAACCTCCTGACAGCAGCCACTGTGTCTTGGTGGCGTCTTCTTAGCAGGCATGTGGAAGTGTATACCCAGGATTTGTCTCGGCCAGGTGCGGTAAGACATGCAGACACAGAAAGGACTGTCACGAAGGAAGAAGCTCACACTCACGGGTGCCTAGAAACAGGACCCAGGGTCCCACGGGGAAGTGCCAGACGGGGAGAGGACAGAGCAGGGCCCAGGGCTTTGTCAGGGTTTTCCTGCTACAGAGTGGGTGAGGCAGGGCAGGGTGCTGAACAGGCTTAGGACTGGATGGTTTGAATAATTAATGGGCGGGGGCAGGCTTGGGATTAGAGGGGTGGTCCCTGCTTGTCTGTTACTGGGCCCTGGTGTGATTCAGGGCAGGGGGAGTATTGGCTTGCTGCTGGAGGGATGGATGGAGTAGGTGGTTGGGGGCGTGTGCTCTGCAATGGAGGGTCTGCCCATCAAAGGTGCGCTCACAGCCAGGCGCGGTGGCTCACGCCTGTTAGAGACAGTGAGTTTCACCTCTACTTGCCTGGGCTAGAAGTGCGTGGACACAACTAGCTCACAGCAAACCTTCAACTCCTTGGGCTCAAGCAATCCTCCTGCCTCAGCCCTCCGAGTAGCTCAGGGACTACAAGGCATGCGCCCACGAAAGCTCTGGCAATTTTTTCTATTTTTAGCTGTTTGCTAATATTCTTTCTATTTATAGTAAGCAAGATGGGGTCTCGCTCTCACTCGCAGGCTAGGTCTCAATACTCCTGGCTACGAGAGCAATCCTCCTCCTGCGCCTCAGGCACTCCCTGGAGCAAGGATTACAGGCGTGAGCAACCGAGTATGGGCCGGCATTGAGTTTAGTAAAGATTTTGGACCCATGCTCCAGCCTTCCCCTCTGTAAACAAACACGAAGTGCAAAGTCAGGTGGTTTCTAAGGTTCCTATGCACCTCCAAGAGGATTTCTATAATGGGTCACTAGGATTTTTAGACCAGAATAAAAGCAGCAGAGGTAAATCTTCTAGGAAGAGGCGTGGAGGCCCGAGTTCTGGCAAATCCCAGATGGCATCCTGGGCAATTCAGGACATCCTCTGGATGGCTTGATTTTAAGTCGACTCACATGAGCATACAGAAGAACCCCTTTGGTCCCTGAGAGACTAATTAAGACATCCCTGCCTCAAATACTTTTCCATCTGTTCTGCCTTTGTAGGAAAAAATATGAAGAAATTAACATTATGTCACAGGAAGAGTTTTTTTTTTTTTCCAGTTGACATCCCCACACCAAATTATTATTTAAATATAAATATGGAAAACATGTTGATTTTTAAGAACTGCATGGGGAAAATTATGAGGCAGCTGCTTATATCCTTCTTTTATGACACTTTTCATGACCCTTGCCATGCAGAGCTCTCCGCTTGTTGTTTAGGGTTGTCGGTTCAACCGTGACAGGTTACCTACCAGGTCCAACATTCTCTCACTGAGTGCCTATCCTTTCTAGTTATTGATTCCAGAAAGTGCTGGCTCATTCCGCTGCCATGCTTCTGCGTATCTTAAGAATGTTTTTTAGTTCTCTCGTCAACCACTTACAATACTGCTTTTAAAATCTTTTCTTGCTTTCTACAGACTTCAACTGATTTATCCTTTCTTCGACTCGGAAGCTCACTTACAGTCAGTTCTATCATCTGTCTATCTGTGTCTATCCATCCACATCCATCTCATCCTACTTAATCTATTCCATCATCCAACCCAATCCTCCATCCATCCCAACCATCTATCACCTATCCATCCACTCCATCCACCATCCCATCCATCCACTCTATCCATCCATCACGAG